TGTTGCACTCATGCTCTGGTTCAGCCTCTCATTGCTCAAACTTAACAGTGGCCTCCCCAACTGCCTTTCTTGGCTTCCTCCCCAGCCTTTGGGGGAAGGAGAAGCCGCCCCCCCCACCCCAATTGCCAAGACCAGAGATTCCTGCCCACCCAGTTCGTCCTGGCTACAACACAGCAGGAAGAGAAAAAAAGAGGTTCTGCCTTCTCAAACGGCCCATCAGAATCCAGCCTCGGTCTGACTTCCATTTTTCATCCAGAGATGTTTCTCAATTTTGGCCCCTTTAAGAGGGGTGGGCTTCCACTCCCAGAATCCCCCAGCAAGGATAAAATGGGTGGACTTCCACTCCCAGAATCCCCCAGCCAGCCTGCTTTAAGAGGAGGCGACTTCAACTCCCAGAATGTCTTAACCAGCGTGAGAATTAAAGTCCACCCATCTTAAAACGTGTTGATAGGGGGATTTGGGGAGTTGAAGCCCACCCCTCTTCAAGTGCCCGAGGTTGAGAAACTCTGCTCTAGGGGAAGCCTTGTGTTCATTCTTTAGCAGAAGGGACCAAGAGACGGTGAACAACGCTTTAATTCATTTATTGCCTCGCCCCAGACACGCCCCAAAACCTGGGAATTCCGTTAGGTGAACAGGAGTGGCCGTTTCAGGAGGTCCACTGGCCCATGTTGAAGACCTCCTGAGCCCAAAAGTCCTCCTCCTGCAAGACAGAGAAAGTCCAAAGAGAAAGCAGCTGTCAATTATGTTAAAGCAAAACCATCTGACAGGCTAAGCCAGTCCCAAAGCAGGCCACTTTCATAGAATAACAGGCTTGGAAGGGAGCTTGGAGGTCTTCTAGTCTACCCTCCCCGTTCAAGCAGGAGATCCTATACCAGTGGTGGGTGACCTTTTTGGGTTCCTGTGCCAAAAATTGCGCCTGCATTACTGCCAGCACCCAGAATGCAATGTGCACCCCCCACACCCCCTGCACATGCGTGGGCAATCCCCCCTTGCCACCCCCTGACCTGCACTGCACCTCCCAGCTGGTTTTTCAGCCTCCCAGAGGCTTGGAAAAAGCCTCTGCAAGGCTTTTCAGGACGAATAATAGGCCCATTTCATCACTTCCAGTATTACAGGAAGCGACGAAACAGGCCTATTCATCCTGAAAAGCCTTGCAATCATATTAATTGCTCTTCTCTGCACTCTTTTTGAAGTCTCAACATCTTTTTCATATCATGGCAACCAAAACTGGATGCAATATTCCAAGACTTTAGGAATTTCCAAAACTCCACAGAAAAGCATGCTTTAAAATGGGTGGACTTCAACTCCCAGGATTCCCAGCCAGCATGGGAATTCTGGGAGTTGAAATCCACCTGTTTCAAAGTGGCTGAGGTGAACAAACACAGGCCTAAGCCACATTCGGATGGTCTTGCCAACCTAGGGTGAATGTTAAACTATAGTTTATAGCTGGGTGGGTGGATAGACTCAGCCACTTGACTTTTTTTCAGGATGCTGAGGGTGAACAAATCATAGCTTAGCGTGATTAAGTGTAGCTCTTGAATGCCAGGGCTTGTTCAATGTGGTTTTGGCACTAGGCAAAATTATTTTCTCAGCATTCTGGAACATTTTGTAACGGGCTGCGCTAGGTTTTTTTATTGTTCTGCTGGGTTTTATTGTTGCGCCTTCCTTCTTTATTTAAAATAAAGCATCGGGTTTGAATAGAAAGATGGCACACACAGATGTTTGAAATAAAATTAATTTCTTTTAGTGAGGATCCCTGGCAGGCATTCTGGTCTTGAATGCAACAACCAAGGCTAAGCTGGTGAGCCACCTATAGCTAAAATCCTCACTTGTATAGTTTTAGAAACTAGAAAGAGGCTTATTGCTTAACCAGGTTAGTGAAAAACTCAGTTCCTCCATTTGCACAACTTGCTAAACTGACTTCAAGCCTTGATTTGTTTTTTTCTGCTTTATGTATGCTAAAGTTGGCTGGGTTCATATGATACAGATAGTCCTTAAATTAGAACCATTCATTTAGAGAGCAAAGTTATAATGGCACTGAAAAAAGTGACTTTAACTGGTCCTCACACTTATGACCATTGTAGCAGCACACACACCCCATATCACATGATCAAAATTTGGGCACTGAGCAACCAGCATGTATTTAAAACGGTAGCAACATCCAACAGTCATGTGATCACCATTTGTAACCTTCCCAACTGGCTTAGAATACAGAACATAGTACAATAGGGATGGAAGGGATCTTGGGAGGTCTTCTAGTCCATCCCCCTGCTCAACCCCCTTCCAATAAGTAAAGTCAAGGGTGGGGGGGGAAAACTGGATTCACATAACAACTGCAGTGATTTTCTTAACAACCATGGCAAAAAAGATGAATAAATTTGGGCACAAGTCACTTAAAAATCACCTTCCTTAGCCACAGAAATTTCTGGTTTCCATTGTGGTTATAAGTTGAGGACTACCTGAGTACAATACTCGAGGATCAGATTCAAACATAAGTGAAAATGAAGCAAACCATGCCATGATTTAATCTACGTGAATCTGGAAACCCTGTTGATCAATTCATTTAAAGATTTAAGTGTTTTTTTTTTTTACAAACCTGGCACAGACTTTTGCTCCTGGCAGCTCCGGTGACGCCATCATCTCCTTGACTTTTGTCTGGGAAAATATCCCTCTCGCTCTTAGAAGAAGATGAAAAGGCAGAGGTTGAAGTGGCTTCTGGTCTCCTTGGGAGGCTTCCTTTGGGTTCCTTGTTCTTTGCTTCACCAGAGAGGTTAAGGTCTTCTGAATCCTCTTCCGTGGGAATCCTCCTGTTTGCTGGTTTTCTCTTCTTGGTTGTGCTTATTTTGTCAAACTCTGAGCTATCAAACCGAAATCCTGCAGGACACAAAACTGAAGTCACACGCATGTGAAGTCACACATCGAAATGCAGTCGAATAGAATAGAGTAGAGTAGAGTAGAATTGGATTAGATTAGATTAGAATAGAATAGATTAGAATAGAATAGAATAGAATAGAATAGAATAGAATAGAATAGAATAGAATAGAATATTGGAAGGAATAGAATATTAGAAGGAATAGAATATTAGAAGGAATAGAATATTGGAAGGAATAGAATAGAATAGAATAGAATAGAATAGAATAGAATTCTTTATTGGCCAAGTGTGATGGGACACACAAGGAATTTGTCTTGGTGCAAATGCTCTCAGCGTACATAAAAGAAAAGAGACATTCGTCCAGAGTCAAGAATCATCAGGTGCAACACTTAATAATAGTCATAGGGTACAATTAGCAATCAAATCATATACAGCACATGCATACACAGATATGATGCACAGATCCAAATGCAAATTACATCAGTTCAGTTAAGCATTAACGTACAACAATTCGGACTTCCAGTTTGAGCTTCTTCAGCGATAGACCGAAACCTTGTCTCTGCAAGGCTTTGATCCGTGCTCACCGCTGGAGCGCCCCGAGCCGGCTGGTTTTGGGGCTAAGCCACCCCGTAGAGGTGGTGAAGAGGGGGGAGACTGCCAGCAGGGTTGAGGAGAGCTTCATCTCTCCTCCTCAGCTGGCCATTACTCCCTTTCCTGAAGACGGTTGCAGCGGTGGTCAGAAATGGCCACCACAAAGAAGAACTCGACCGGAAAAGAATGTGCAGGAGGAAGATAAGAAGAGAAAGTTTTGGTTGACCAGGTCAAACAGCAAAAGCAACAAATAAGATACCCTGGAATTGAAACTGTTAAAAAACAATAACATTGTTCCCTAAGAAGATTTTTAAGCTGCGAAGGAGAGAGAAAAGGGAAAAGATTTAGTTTTCTCCTTTTCCTATACTGACAGCTAAGAGACTTAAGCAAGAAATTGGAAAAAAATCCACTTTGACATCAATAGGCATTTAATGCTGAAAATAAAAAGTCAAAGGGATAATAAAGATTTCTGGATAATTAAAAGCTTTTGAAAACAGGAAAGGAGAGAGGAAGAATAAAAGGGCAGGATCTGGAAGGGAGGAGACTGCCTGGAATTAAAAAAGAACTTACAGCAAAATCTCAACAAGACTTCCAAAAGATACATTCTAACTGAAATATCGCAACAAAAACCCCAGGAAGAGAAAGTCGAAAAAGAAATAAGAAGATATAACTCGGGACTATCTGGATTACTTGATGATTTCTGAATTCTTGGTTATTGTTTTGAATGACTAAAATCAATCGGGTGGTTGTTTAAAACTTTTTAAAATGGCTCCACTTTTAGAAGAACTGAAAATGGAACTTAAAAAGTACAAAGAAGATGCAGAAGAAGGGAGAGGTTCTTTTGGCTTCGTATTTCAGTTTTTAGAAATGGAGATTTGGAATTATGAGAAACAACAAGAAATGCCTGCACAACAAGAAGATTGCGACAAAGAAGAAGTCATCTTTAATGAACAAGTAATCTTAGATGGTGGGGAAAAGGAAAGGGGAGAAAGAGAATGGAAAGTTTAAGATTGGGAAAAACAACTTCAAAAAGAATAGAGTGAAAAATAAGTATAAAATCAGAAAGCAACAGAAGAGGGAAATGCAGAAGAGAGAATTAGAACCAGAGAGACAAGGGGGTAAAAAGGGGAGGGAGAAGATGAGAGGGAAGAAAGAAAGGAAAAGAAGTTATAAAGGACAGAAGCAAAATATAGAGAAACAGGGCCTATTTAAAGATAATGGGTGAAAACTTAATGGAAAAAGGGATTCTGCAAAGGTACATAAGATAGTATGGTTATATTAGAAGCAGAAATAATTTTAGAAAATATGAAATAATGTATGATTAAAATGTCTGATGAAATAGCTATCATAATTCAGTGGAATGCTTGTCAATAAATAAATGTAACAAAAGGTATATTTAATGATTTATAAAACATATGTGAAGAGAAATAAGGGAAAAATTAATTATGGAGATTATATGTGTTTTTAAGGAAGTATGATATTTAATTGAAAAGTAGTGTTAAAGATATAATGGTTTTAATGAATATTAATGATAGAACTAAACTGGAATGGAATGAGGGTTTATAATTATATATTTACAATCTTTCTTTTTTTTAAAGAATATAGTGTGTATTATAAGAATGTGCCAAGCAGAATTCGATTGGAAGTTATGTATTATGTATTATATTGAAGGTCATAAACTTAAGGTATATATTGAAGTTTAAATAAGAGTTGAATGGAAGTAATTAAAAGATATAAAGGTGTCATACTCCAATTAGTAACTACAGGAGAAAATTTGTTTAATGAGAAAAGATAATATGAAATTGAAACAGAACAGACAAAAGTATAAATATAATGATTTGAATTGAGATGAGTTAATCAAAATAAAATTGAAAAAATTAAAAGAGGGGAAAAACTATAGAGAAAATGTAAAATAGTATAAGATATGGAATAGAATACAAAAAGGAGCATGAAATTGAGTTTTGTGTCTGTATAAAGAAGTTCAACCCAGGACCATGCTGTTTTCAAAAAAGATGTTTTACTTGTATTTTGTGTGTGAAAACCCAAATAATAATAATTATTTTTTTTAAAAAAAAACTTACAACAATTCATTAAGTGACTATTCAAAGGTACAAAGGCAGTGAAAAAAGTGACAGGTTCACTTTTTCAAAACACAACCATTGGGGCATTCCCATGGTCACATGATCAAAATTCAGACGCTTGGCAACTGGTTCATATTTACGACGGTCGCAGTGTCCCTGGGGTCACGTGATCCCCTTTTGCGACCTTCTGATGAGCAAAGTCAATGTGGGAAGCCGGATTTACTTAACAACCATGTTACTAACTTAACATCTGCAGCAATTCACTTAAGAAAGGTTGTAAAATGGAGCAAATCTCACGTAACAAACATCTTGCTTAGCCACATAGATTTTGGGCTCCAATGTGGTTGTAAGTCGAGGGCTACCTATATATCAGGTGGCTGTAGCCATCCTATTTTTTAAAAACTCAAGACTTTGCTGCTAGAGGGTGTTTCTTTTTCTTTTTCCTTTTACGAGGCTCAACTTCCTTGCTGAAGGAGATGATGCACCTGTTCCAAGTGACATGCAGAGCCTGGGAAATGAGTTGTTCTTATTTTCTGTTTATTTTAAGAATGCTTCCTCTACTTCCTGGCTTAACTTTTTCCGTGTTTTGAATTGGATGCATTTCACTGCTCGGAGGGGTCACTGGAGGACAGAATACAGTGGATAAAAAGAAGCGTTGCCTTTTTTCTAACTAGAGAATTTCACATTTCCACCATGAGCAGATAGCTGGGCAGCAAAATGCTTTCCTCTTTCCTTTTTGTAAATTGCAAACTTTATACCGGTGGTTGCCAACCAATCGGCCGGGGACCACTGGTGGTCTGCGAGAAAATGTTGGTAGTCTGCAGAGAAATGTCACCCCCAAGGCAATTAATTCAGGCTGCATGGGAACACAAGGCTTGCATCGCTTGCATTGGAAGCAACACGAGGTAGTGAGGGGAGGGGGGGAAAGGGTGAAGGGGGGGGACTTGCCCCACTCGCCCCATGTGCCTCACCTGGCCACCAGGCTGCTTCTTTCTGCTTTTTTCTTCTTCTGCTTTTGGCTGCACGCAAGGAAAGCAGCCAAAGTCTTTCTTTCTCTCCCCCAAACTCTGCCAGAAATGAGTCTTTGGGACCCTGCAAGGCCTCCTGCTCCAAGAGGCTGTGCTGGCGCAACAAGTCTCACAAAGACTCATTTCTGGCAGAGTTTGGGGGAGAGAAAGAAAGACTTCTGCTGCTTCTGCTGTTTTCCTTGCATGAAGCCAAAAGTCTCTCTCTCTCTCTCCCCCCTGAGAACGGAGCTGGAGATGGTATCCTGAGATCCCAAATAAAGAATGATTGATCGGTAGGAAATCGGGTTGGAGGATTTTCCTGCAGACTTTTTTGGGGATTTTCCCAGGGTCTCTGGTCCACGGGATTTAAAATTATGAGTTTGGTGGTCCCTGAGGTCCAAAAGGTTGGCGACCCCTACTTTATACTATGCAGGTAATCCTCGACTTACAACCACAATTGAGTCCAAAATTTCTGTTGCTAAGTGAAACATTTACCAGTGAGTTTTGCCCCAGTGAATCGCTACAGCTGTTAAGTTAGTAACAGTATCACTCTAGAATACTATGTTTTCTTATTTGAGCATACAAAGACACACCTTCTCTCTCGCTGGTTCCTTCCTCTGGCTCCAATCCTGAACAGCTAACAAAGGAACACGACGTTTTCTGATGAATGGAGGATGAGGGAATTTTGGCAGTTAGTGGCCTTGTCTTACACTTTCTAGGCAGTGGCTGCAGAAAAAAAAAACCCAAAGGATACAGTTTATATTAACAACACACAAATTACATTAAAGGAAGAATAGAACGCTGGTAATTCTCCAGGCCAAGGAACGCTGTCGTGGAAAATTTTTGGAACGGTAACAAATCATCCTCCCAATGAAGTTGATCTTTGCATTATATTATTTTTATAAGACAGAAAACGAAGGCTAAATATGTTATTAACCCAGGGATCTGTTATGAGCCTGGTCACTGCATAGTACCTGAAAGAGATCTTGGCTGGATATTGGTATACAGGTAATCCTTGACTTACAACTGACCATTCAAAGTTACAACAGCCCTAAAAAAACTGAATTATCGTTGGTTATGTGATTAAAATTTGGGTGCTTGGCAACCAGCATTTATTTACCATGACTACAGCAGCCCCTAGTCATGTGATTGCCTTTTGTGATAGCCAGGAAAGAATAATACAGTAAATAAAGAATTCTATCCATCCATCCGTCTGTCTGTCTGTCTGTCTCTCTCTCCCTGCCTCCCTCCTTCCCTATCTATGGTATCTAATCATCTATCTATCTCTACCTACCTACCTATCATTTATCTACCTATATCCATCTCTCTCTCTCTCTCTCTCTCTCTCTCTCTCTCTCTTTTGCAACCTTCCCAGCAGCTTCCCACAAGCAAAGTCAACGGAGGAAGCCAAATTCACTTAACAACCTCATGATTCACTTAACAACTGCTGTAAATGGCTTAACAACCAGGGCAAAAAAAGGATGCAGATTCAGGCGTGACTCCCTTAACTGCCTTGCTTAACAACAGAAAGTCGGGTCCCAACTGGGATCATAAATTGAGGACTATCTGTAAGCATTCGCAGTAAGCGACTGAACCTTCGTTCTCTTAACAGTGAGGTCCAGAGGGGTGTTAAACAAAGATGGGGAAGGGAGGAAGTGGGTTTAAGTTGTTTACCTTTTTGATCTCACAGGCGTTACTGGGCTTCCACTGCTTAAGAATGACTTTGTTAAAAGTCTCTCTGATGGTTTCCTGGAATTCTTGAGTGTCTGCGACCTGGTGAAAGAGAGATTCTTTGTCGGCGTTCCAAGAAACTCCGAGACAATCAACTCCTCAAAGTTCCATTTCATTAGAGTTGTCCTATTGGCCCACTCGAATCTGAGAGTTCCAGGTTTTCCCTTCCCAAAAGAGAAATCCAAGGTCCCTCCCCTGCACCCATCAGTCCATCACATGGTCCAATCAAATCTTCGTCCTAACTGGAGACATCCTTCCAGTCATTCCCCTCCAGGTGCAGGGCAACATGTCCTTGATTCTCTGAGAAAGAATGTTGCTGTGTCTGATCTTCTAATGCCCACGATGAAATTCCCCCCTCCCAAATTCCCAGGCACTGACTGTGGTAGCCTCAGAGCTTCCAGGACCAAAAAATGGCTTCCAAGGCTGACACAGGGATGGGCAACCTTTTGGACCTGTGGACTTCAACTCCCAGAACTGAACCATGGGGCTGGCTCAGCAATTCTGGGAGTTGAAGTCCACAGGTCATACAGTGGACCATAGTTGCCCACTCCTGTTTTAACACAATGCACGTGTAGCTTTAATTCTCTACGGCATTACAGGTAATCCTTGACTTCCAACTCCAATGGAGCCCCAGATTCCCGTTGCTAAGCAAGAAAGTTAATTTTCCCGCATTTTACCACTTTTCTTGCCACAGTTGCTAAGTGAATCCCTGCAGTTGTTAAGTTAATAACACAGTTGTTAAATGACTCTGTTTCATGATTGGCTTGGCTTGTCAGAAGTTTGCAAAAAGGGATCACATGACCCCAGGATGCTGCAACTGTCATAAGTATGAGTCAGTTGCCAAGCGTCTGAATTTTGATCACGAGACCATGGGAACGCTCCAATGGTTGTAATAGTCATAAGTCACTTTTTTCAGTGCCGTCGTAGCTTTGAAATGGTCCCTAAGTGAACTGTTGGAAGTCGAGGGCTACCTGTATTTCTCATGTAAACATGAGATAAGAGTTAAGGCTACACTTAAATTAGTAGTTTGGAAGTTGCTTAATTTAATGTCCTCACTCGTGGCCGGGCATGGTCAATTCCTGATCCTACACAACCTTTCTCATCCCAATTGTTAATTTAAAGCATGTTTTAACACATCTGGGCTGTACCTGCAAGGTATGGAGACACTTCCGTCGGAAGTCGCCATCGGTGCTGCTTGAGACTATTCTGGAAATGGCAGATGCCATGATGGGTAAAGAACATGCCAGCTTCTGCTGCTCCTGCGGAGAACAAGGAGTCCTGCCTAGTGGGTCACAGCCCATGGCAGCCTCAAAAAAACAGCCCGAATGTTTTCCTTCCACCCTTACAGTTCACGCGGTATAATTGTACTACGGATTTTATTGTGTGTTTTTTTAAAATCAGATTTGGAAATTGCCCATCTCCTTCACAGAAGGACTGTGGGCAGTGTAGGAATAAAATATTAAAATGTAGAAACTGGCAGGGATGGTTACATATCTGTCAAGTGCAGGAAGCAAGCGGTTCAAATGAATACAGGAAGTCTTCGAGTTACGACCACAATTGAACCTCAGATTTATGTTGCTAAGTGAAACATTTATTAAGTGAGTTTTGCCCCATTTTACGACCTTTCTGGCTAGGCTATGTTATCATTCTATTCTATTCTATTCTATTCCATTCCATTCCATTCCATTCTCCTGTTCTACTCCTTTTCTATTCTATTCTACTCTACTCTGCTCTCTACTCTACTCTATTCCATTCTCCTATTCTATTCTATTCTATTCTATTCTATTCTATTCTATTCTATTCT